TATATATATATTTCTGTGTGGGTGTATGATACGGCAGGGACAAGTAGAATATGTTGCTAACTTAGTTTAAGTACTAATTATCACATAGTAACCTTTCTGTGTAGGCGTTGAAATTTGCACTGATTTGCGCTTTGACTTTGCACTTGACTCGACTTTGACCTGGCCAAGAGGCATAGGTCAGCCATAGCCCAGCAGGTACTTGGGCAGGTAGGTGATGGACGTAATCAGACTGTAGCTGTGGGAAAAGAAGCAAAGCCACAAAACCGAAGTTTGCGTATTCTTTTAATGTTACCAAATTTTATTTTCATAGCTGATTTTACAGTATATTCACCAGTAACCAGTTCAGTCGGCTTAAATACTATATATAGTTATGTGTTGTTAGATACAATATTTACAGAGTTTGATGTGTTTGTTTGGCCTCAACCGAATACACCATAAACCACATCAGTGAAACCCAAGGCATTTGACTCTATGCCTTCCCGCTCCTCGGTGTGTTGCTCCCCAGTGCTGCCATTGAAATATGCCAAAGCAGAGAGAATGAGAGTGTATATACAGTTATATTGGGTACTGTGTATATTACAATTACAACAACAATATGACATCAATATAACAAAAATGAACACCAAATGCTAGACAATGAATCATCGCATGATCATCGCATAAGCAGCGCATGAGCATCGAGCCAACACCAAGCAGAACAAACAGTTAGCAAACTACATTAGCGATACATACGAGTTGGTGAGTCCTCGATAGAACCACGACTTCCACGACTTAGAGGACCCCTCATCGATTTTCGACTCGACATCCGCACAGAAGTGCCGGCGATCGTGGGAGCGTCCACTTTTGCAGTCGCACAACATCCGCTTCTTGCACTCCGCATCGCACGTGGGTCGCGCCGGAGAGTTTTTCCAGTAGTTCCTGAATAAAAACAAATAAATATATATGTATACATTTGTATAATGATATTTTACATCTATACTCACTTATAGTAAATTTCGAAAAGCTCCTGGTTGTCCGTCAGATCGTTGAGCAGCTTGTCCCAGTCGCTTGGTCGCAGAGCCTTCATATTGTACGCAGCCCTGGCTGTATATAGCTTATACCAAATCGGATAGCCGTAGAGATTTGCCTCCTTCAAGTTCATTATCCATGATTCATGGTCGATGACAAGACGAGTCGTTGTATCATGATCACCATCCACCTAGGGATTACATTGTACGACGAGTCATTAGTACATATACTAACTTAAGTAACTCTAGGGCTCCCTCAATAGTTTATACTGTCAAAAGAACATGTTTTACATAAAACCTCAACAAGGTTGGAATTGGCAATTTATAGTGCCAAGGAATATTGATTATAATAATAAAAGATAATAAATTATATATCTTAATTTACTTTATCGCTTGTAGTCATATTTTTCGTCAAGAGTTTCTATTTAAAATTACTTACATAGTAAATACGATATCCCGGATTTAGATCATAGTAGGGTGACACGGAGGGTCCAATATAGGCAATGCTATTTGAATGTGCTGAGGGAACACAGAAAATAATTTAAGTTTTTGTATTAAGTTTCAATTATGAATATTCCGTGTTAATAAATAGAGGAAGACATCATTGTTAGATGATATTTTTGACAGATGATATTATATTATTTTTGGTTAACATCCTCCAAGTAGACTTGTAAGAGCCGCATATATATATACATATATTACATTAAGTCGGACAGAACATGCTGACTAAAAAATAACTCCATAAACATACTCAAATCATGGGGATCGTAGAACATTTCGAACTCGTCGAAGTGGGTGTGGCCATAGAATTGGGCGGTAATGGTGCTCTCATAGCGCGAGATGATCTTATAAAAATTGCGTGACCAGACCTTCAGGCAGTCCGAATGACCCGGCGGAATGTGTCCAATTACATGAACCTTCTCATTGGAAAACTCGGCGCTCTGCAGCTCATAGATGAACCTAAATAGGATAAGAGTTTCGATTGATCAATCAATCAAATCAAATCGAGTCGAAAATATATCTAAATCGGTAGTTTCAACTCGAACTCACCACTGCAACTCCGTTGCGGGATCTGTGGAGTTGAGGAGCAGCCACCAGTTCTTGTTGTTGCAGTAGTTCATGTTGAGTGAAATGATGCGGAAGCCGGGGCGCACAAGGACCGAGTAGAAGGCGCCACGCCGTACCGTGTGCGAGACGCTCTGCGGCAGCCAGCGACGCCACTGGACGTCGAGCTCGTCGTAGAGCCAGTTGATGGAGATATCGACCTGGTTGACATACGGAGGCGGGAAGCTGTTAACGGGCGCGCTCTCGTGGTTGCCCAAGGCCGGAAAGATTGGCACTCCGGGGAACTTCTCGGTCATTTGCTTGACCGTCTCTTTGATGATCTCGAGGTTCTCCTGCTTCGTTTGGTTCCACACATCGTGCGGCGGCAGGTCACCCGTCCAGAGGATGTAGTCAATGTCCTTGTGGGTGTCTGCAATGTGGGCGAGCATGTTGTCCACCGTCCGCTTCGGCGTGTCGCACTTGCGGTAGTCGCCCCACTTCCCGGCAGCGGCGTTGGGGCTGGCAGGCCGCCCGCTGCTCAGTCGGCAGCACAGCGGCTCATTGCAGTCCGCGTTCGCGCCCTCGACGTAGTGCGGATCGTAGTGGGTGTCGGAGATGTGGAGCACCTTAAAGAACGGGGCCGCCTCCAGCGGCACGGGCAGCTCAGGGAGACGCGGAGGCTTGGGCACCGGCGGGAAAATGACCTCCCACTCGTGGTACGGGTTGTAAACATCGCCGCAACCGTCGCCTATGATGAAGCTACACAGCTCGTCGGGGCCCAGGTTGACGCGCTGCAGCACGTAGATGACTTCGCTACCAAAGAGCTGGGCCACCCCCTCGCAAACGCGCGGGCTCTGGATGCTCAGGTTCGTGCAGTATTGCGCAATCATCTTCATGAGCTCTGCGTCGGTCTTGCCGCTCTTGATGTAGTGCTGGAGCAGACCGGCTCCCGCCTTGCACGCGGTGCAGGAGACCTTGGACAGGACGCTGTTCTCGATCTCGAAGGCTACCTGCTTCAGATTAAACAGCTTCAGCGCTTTGTCCACGAATGGGGGATACGTGAGTCCATCGCCAGCTGCCGCATCGTACCACAGCATTCGCGCAGAGCTGTGGTTCTGGCGCAGAGCCCGCAGGCGCTCCAGAAACTCCTCATCGCTGTCGGCGGTCTCGGTGCTAGTGCGGTTCGCGTGATACTTGAGCTCCACGTGCGGCACCACGCTGCGTGGCTGCACCTCAACCTTCCAGTCGTCCAGCTGCGGCTGCGTCCAGTTGATGGGCGCCCGCGCATTCGTGTAAAGAAAAGGTAGAGCTGCCCCAAGAGCGCATAATAGTAAAAAGGGTTCTGCTTTCGGGTGCATTTGCTCCACTTACCATCGCTCGCCGCCAGCCCGGCCACGGCCAGAGCCGCCATGAGCCAGCAAATGTGCCGACTCGGCCTGGGCCACGTCTGCTGCGACGTCGTCTGTGTCATAACTGTCGCTCAGCCACCACTAGCACCACCAGCGGCTGCCTGTCCACTTGACCTACAAAAGTCCAATCAAAAAGAAAATATGTACAGTCATTATTATGTTCAACTTGTTTCAAGTGCAAATACACATACAAACAATGTGGTCTTTACGTATGCGCAAGATATGGGTGCGTGCTCTTCTTCTTATTGCTCAGTCATCGGACTGCGTTTCACGGATACTGAGACATAATTTGGGACACATTTAGGGCACAGAATAAATTGTACGGCTTTTCGTTGTTTATTTCCAGCCTATTATCGAATTTTATATAACTTTCATTATTAAAAAACAGTACAAAAATTGTTCATTTGTATTGAAAGTACTCAAGACATGAATGAACAAGAGTCAAAACGAGTTTTCAGAGCAGAGGGGCATTAAAATATATAAAAGTAGATGTATCGATTACTTTCTGAGGTTTTCATAATGATTCGAATATGCGCTTGTAGAATTTTTTGATGAAATGAAATCCAATTTATTTTAGTAACAGTAAAAACAAGTAAGAAAGCTCTAGTCGAGACTGACCGACAACGAGATCCCCTGACAAAAATCTAAATTCTATAAAGTACATATTAATCTACATTAAAAAATCGACTCTAAATAGTGAATCAAGACAGGATTGATGCTGGGATTTAAACTGCCAATTAAGATCTCAACCTTATATTTTTCCTGCTATCAGGTTGTACTCCTCATCTTGGCTTATCAAGTTTTTATACAGATCATGTTTCGAATTCCACCAATGCGCATTTTAATCACAAAATATTGCTGATAACAGTTAATTGGCTGATAACACTTTAAGCATAAGTAGAACAGCAAAATCAAACTGAAAATATTTCAAATGAAACGGAATAGATTTAAAAAACAAACATGTTTTTCATTTGATGTGAGGATCCAGTCTACGCTGCTGTGCGGTAAATGACACTAAAAAGACGCCGAAAATAGCCAAAAAAA